TTAAAACTAACCAACAAACAATCCATGTAATCTGACACCAGCCAGTCTCGGGTCAGTTTAGATTTATAATCTTGCTGGATCTCCGTCTTTTGCTCTTCACAGAAGGTTACCTAAACCACAATCTGAACACAGCAACTCAAAAACCCCATTTCCACTTTTCACAAAGCCACCACGCACTCACCTACCTTGTACATATCACTCATCTACATATTTAACAGTGCCTCGCTCGGACGCCTCCCTGCAATCCTGCTCTTCCCCAAGTCATCCCCTTCCTGTGCAAATGATTCCACCTTTTTGGCGCCTCTGAGGCACCAGCCTTGACACTGTGCTCGACTCAGTTCTCCTGCTCGCTTCCATGCAGCTCCTAGGTAGACCCTGCTGTCTCCATCTTCATGGTCTCCTGAGAACCAGCTCTGGCTCCTCTGCTGCTCCCAGCTAACACAAGTCACTCTCATTTCCCGCCAGACTCCTAGCTTGGTTCCCTGCTCCCATCTGCGGCTGTCGACAATTACTTATACTTCATGAGATGCATGTGTGTGTGCATTTGTGTGCACGGATGTGAGCATCTGCCCGCCACACTGCACAGGAGGAGGACAGGGAGCAACTCTGGAAGTCCGCCCTTGCCTTCCACCTTATTTGAGATAGGGTCTCATTGCTGCTGTCCATGCCAAGCTAACGGGCACACAAGCTTCCAGGGACTCTCTTGCGCTCATCTCTTTGTCTCTGTCTTGCCGTGTGAACACTGAGATTACAGACACGTTTTATCACGTCTTGCCTTAGCTCTCGGGATCCGAACTCCAGTCCTCATGCTTCTGTGGCAAGTGCTCTACCCACTGAGCCATCTTCCCAGTCTCCTCACTGGGTTTCTTGGATGTAGCTTTACAGTTACCACCCAATTTGGGGAGGGTCAAGTCATTGCTTCCTTTCTCTTTGCCACAGGTCCTAACTATATGCATAGTAGACGGCTTACAATTATCCCAGACTTCATAGCCATTTTATTTTTCAAAACTTTATGTGTTATTTTGGGCTGTGCGCTTTGCTGTGCCTTCAAGTTTGCTAATACCCCCCCCCCCCGCAATAGCTAATCCATCATTAACCTATGCACCTTTCCTCGCAGCCACAGGTGGTTTTATTTCTGGAGTGTGGGAGCTGGAGGGATGGTTCAGTGGTTAAGAGCACTTGCTGCTCTTACAGAGGACTCAACTTCAGTTCCCAGAACTCATCTGGCAGCTCACAACCATCTCTAACTGTGGTTCCAGGGGATTTGACGTCCTCTTCTATATTCTGCGGGTACCAGTCATGTACACACCAGATGTATACACATACGTGCAAAAAAAAAAAAAAAAACCAGAACAAACAAAGTAACCAAAAAAAAACCCTCCTCATATAATAATAAAGAATCTGTATTTCTAGAGTTTGAGTCTTTCTATATCTCCCCTATATTTCTAGAGTTTGAGTCTTTCTATATCCCCCCTGTATTTCTAGAGTGTGAGTCGTCCTATATCTCCCCTATATTTCTAGAGTTTGAGTCTTTCTATATCCCCCCTGTATTTCTAGAGTTTGAGTCTTTCTATATCTCCCCTATATTTCTAGAGTTTGAGTCTTTCTATATCCCCCCTGTATTTCTAGAGTGTGAGTCGTCCTATATCTCCTCTGTCTCTACTCAGCTTTATAAACAGAACACAGCTGTGTTGTCCTGCTATTGCCACATCTTCAGCAGAGGCAGGTTGTCCTGACTGACAACTGTTCTCCTCCTCACAGGCCACCCTCCCTGCCACTTTGCACTCCTACTACATTCTGACTGGTTCTCAGTGTTCACAGTAGAGTGTCTGTCTGTACGTCTGCACCCTTGAGCTTTGCATTACATTAAGTTACCTGAAAACACTTTTATCTTTCCAGTTTGTAATTTATGGTCATTTTCAAGACTGGTCCAGAGGGCTAATGAGTTCCGCCTAAGGTAAAGAAGGGCTGACAGACACTACACCCACCTCCCCGTGAAGTGTGAATTATGAGTTTTCCCAGTCTGAACGGTGGGAAGAGGCAGATATTGGTCGTCAGTGGGGTTTCTCTAGTTCTCCAGAGTGATTCTTTCCCCTCTATGACGTATTCTGGGCGAGAGAGCCCACTGGCAGACCTTCCAGACTGCCTAGCCCTCTCTGTGCTCTAGGGATCCACTAGTCTCTGCCCACGCCCACCCTCCCCCCCAATCAGGAGAGGCACACATGTGGCCACCATACCCGACTTTTATGTGGGTGTTGGGGACTTGAACTCAGGTCCTCACGCTTGTGTGCTGCAAGCCCTTTATCAACTGAGCCATCTCCCCAGACCATTTCATTGTATTAGCGTGTGTTGTGTTGTATTATACGTCTGTCGGAGGCAACAAGCTCAACCTTCCTTCTCCTTCGGACTCTGTAACCTGCTGGAGTTGTAAAGAGACCCCAGAGACTCTGGCCTATTACAATAATCCATAAATTCTTTCGAGGGAATGCAGCACATATCATAAATCTTATCGTGTTAACACAAAAGGAAAAAGCCAAGAGGGGTGTGGGGTGGGAAGGTGGTAGACGACGATTCCATTCACGTCCACTCACTTCTTCCTGACGTTCCATGTTCACCATGGAGCCAGCGAGCAGGTCGTGGCTGCAGGCTGCTGTCATCCCCAGCGTGGTTAGCTTTGTACTGTGAAACCGAAAACGCAACTGATGCATCCCAGGGGAGCCTACAGACCCGACCCTTCTGCAGCCGAGGCTCCCTTGTGTCACCCGGCCGGCCGTGGGTCCTGAAGAGCCTCTGTGTTCGGTTGCCAAGCAGCTGGGCTGGGTTCCCCAAGGAGCAGGGAAAGCGGGCCAGCCCACCAGCCGGCCTGGTGCTTACACTCACCGGGCAGAGGGTGCAGAGGGCAGGCCAGCTGGTCACCTTCCACATGCCAACGCAGCCAGTTGGGACCAAACTGCCTAGCCCCTGCTCTCCCGGGGGTAGATGTCTCCAGAGCAGCTTCTGGCGTGAGCAAAGGTGCCCCGAGACAAACAAACAGCCCCTTGCATCCTGCTCTTGCTGTGCTGCTGCCAAAACTTCATCTGAAGGGATAAAAGGTAAAGCGGAATCCCGGCTCCTGCCTGAGAAGTTGCTTAAGCTAAAAGAAAGCGAAGGCTTTCTCAAGCGCTCTAATTTACTCAGGTGCTCCCACTGTCAAACCGCGGGAGAGCCTCCTTTCTGGGGACAGAGGAGGGCTTCAAGGTATCTGCTGACTCTGCTGGAAACTCAGCTTCCACACGTAGGAACGCTGTGAAAAGCAGGTGTCGGAAGTACTCAATACAACATTAGCAACCAGGAGGCTGGTAGGGCGGACAGGCTGCTAACTGAGGTGCCAGAGGCCTCCTGAGCAAGGACTCCCTCCCAAACTGTGAGCACACTTCAGGGCAACGTTTCTAACGTGGAAGAAAAAAAAAAACCATACGCACAAAATAAGAACGAAAACCTGTTCAGCAGGTAAAGGTGATTGTTGCCAAGTCTGAGTTCAGTCCCAGGAACCCACACGTTGGAAGGGGAAAACTGACTCCTATAAGTTGTCCTCTGACCTCCACAGGCATATGTACCCTCACATACATACACATAAAATTAAAAAAAAAAGGAAAGGAAGCCCATCAGGCACACACTATTTCCAACTTTGGACTGTTCAGTTGAGGATTTCCTTATTCTATAATCATATAAAAACGTCCCCACTGTAATCTAGTCTCCTCATTGTCGGTGCAGAATTTATGAGGTAAATGAGCTGGGCCTGATGCAAAGGCTTGTCATCCCAGCTATTTGGGAGGCTGAGGCAGGAGGACAGATAGTTGAAGGCCCACACCAGGAGAACAGTGAGAGACGAGCCATTGTGTTGCTTCCTAGGAGCCTGTGATGGTGCAAGGTGGGGGCACGTGTTATAAGTTTTCTACAGTCATGACAATTAGTGCTCCAGATGTCGGGCACAGGGTTTGGTCTGGTAACTCTCAGTGTCAGCTCACCGGTTTGAACTCAGCAACACCACAGCGTGGCTCAGAAAACGCTGTTATATGTTAATAGAAGATTCTAGGGCATTACTGAACACCATGAAACCGACAGTAAATCCCACAGGTAAGCACTCCAGGTCCCCCTTCTGTCCCCTCTGGGTAAGAGACCTTGGTGCAAAGGGCCTAGTCCTGGGGGACAGCCTGTCTTCTAAGGGAGGCTTCCTAGCTGTGTGATTTCCTGTTGTACCCTGGGGCTGCATCCGAGGCACCTACAGGGCTTCTGGGGGCACTGACAGTTGACAGCCCCCAGTGCTTTGATGGAGTAAATCTGAGTGCATGACTGGGCTGGAGAGATCGCTCGGGGGGGGGGGGGCACAGTGTTTGCTGAGCAAGCCTGGAGACCTGGGTTTGAAGGGCTAGAGCCCACATAAAGCCAGACATAGTAGTGAACCATCTGTAACCCCCACACTCCGACAGTGAGGTGGGAGGGGGAGAGGAGGATTCCCTAGGAGCTGGCAGCAGCTAGCCTGCCATACACACAGGGAACAACAAACAGGTTCTGCTGCAAACAGCAGAAGGCAAGGACCTGCACAAGAGGCTGTCCCCTGACCTCCACATGCTTGTTGGGGCACACGTGTCTTCCCTTCCTCCTTCCCTCCCCTTTTTTTCCTCTCTTACATGCTTGCATGCGCAAGTGCAAACACACACGCACACGCACTCATGCACACACATACGCACGAATGCACATGCACGCACACAGGCACTCGCACGCACGCATAACAAATTTCCAGGCAAACTGATGCCGCCTTTCGAGAGACTGAGAATTGCTGGCTTCTACCCCTGGAGAGAGGGAACAGACTGACAGACAATGCCATCCCTGGCCACGTCAGCTTCAAGCTGCAGAAGGATAATCGGAGCCTCTGCAGAGGGAGGCCAGCAACACTTCATGTAACTAAGTTCACAACCCAAAATCTGTAGGCAGCAGGAGATGAGAGGTGGGACACTCACTTTGGGTGCCGGATATCGGGGAGAGAGCGATTCAGGGAGATTTTATCACTGACGTAGATGTTAAATCCATTTTCTCGGTATGCCTGGTCCACTCTCTCGGCATCGGTCATGGGGTAAGGCCGCCCCTGTTCTCCATTTCCTAGAGGCAGAAAGCAAATTCAGTGTTGCTGGTTTATCTGACATCTACAGGGGCTCAGACTGGGGAGAGGGACTGGACGGCCCATAAAGCCTTATGCCTGAGGCTGGAGAGACGGCTCAGTGGTTAAGAGCACTGGCTTCTCTTGCAGAGGACTCAGATTTGAGTCACAGCACTCACGCGGTGGCTCACAGCCACCTGTAACTCCAGTTCCAGGGATCAGATGTCCTCTTATGGCCTCCCTGGGCACTGCACACATGTGGAACACAGACTTACTTGCCAGCAAAACACTCAAATACACATAAAATAAAATAAAGGCATTGACATTTTTCAAAAAAAATCTTATACCTGGCCATGGGGCATATTAGTGACTTCTGCTTTACTGTGACCAAGGACCTGAGAAAAGCAACTTAACGGAGGAAGGATTTTTTTCCAGAGGGTTCACATGGCTTTGAGCTTTTGGACCTGGTATGAAGCAGAACGTAGCGGCAGCAGGAGTGCATGGGAGAGGTTCGGGGACGCAGGAAGCAGAGAGAGGGAGAGTACAGGAAGAGACCAGGGTGAGACTCAGCCAGGAGGACACTCTCGCTGTTCTACTTCCTTCACAGAGACCCCGCCTCCTACTTCTGTCTCCTTCCAAACTGTCCCCACATCAGCTTCATCAGAGGATTCAACCATTCATCACTGGGTCCCAAACCCTTCTGGGGCTGTTCTGGAAGTCAAGAGCCAGCCACACCTTCTGGGAGTCCCTCTCTTTTCCCAGGGTTTCTTTGGAAAGTGGGCAGGCTGCTCTCACGAGAAGCCAAATCCTCTCCCTCCCTCTGCCACCTGGATGCCAGAGACAAGCTGGCTACAGGCATGCACTGTGGGCTACCAGGAGATCATATATCAACTAAACCTGCTCCCAGGCTATGCAAGGAAACTTTTAAGGATAGATGCCACGCTTGGTGAGATTGAAGGCTCTCTCTTTGGAACCCCACTGGGCTATCTTTGACAGTAGTACATCTCTTCCCTTGAAGAACAGTTTATCTTGGTGCATCTCCCCTAAACCTATGCTCTCATGTCTTCCTCCCTATGACCTATAGCCACCAGGTCAGAGCCCCAAAGATCTGTTTGTTTCTGGAGATGCCCCCCGCAGACAGACCCAGAGTGAGCTCTACGAATCTTCCAGGCATTTCTCAAGGAAAAAAATTAGACAACCAAGATCTAAAAGAAAAGGTTTTCTTCTATTTTTTTTTTTTAAATTATGTGGGGCTGGAGAGATGGATCAGCAGTTAGGAGCACAGAAGATTTGGGTTCAGGGGCAGCACCCATAGAGTGCTTTACAGACATCCACAACCCCAGTTCTAGGTGATCTGATGCCCTCTACTGAACCCCTTGGGCACCAGGCACACACGGAATATACATACATAAATCTGATGCCCTCTTCTGAACCCCTTGGGTACCAGGCACACATGGAGTATACATATACATACACAGACAAAACACTCATACATATAAAATGTAATAAATAAATCTAAAAAGAAATCTTACTCTGTGTGTGTGTGTGTGTGTGCGCGCGCGTGTAGGTGCCTGTGGAGGCCAGAAGAGGGCATCAGATCCCCTGGAACTGGAGTTACTGGCAGTTGTAAGCTACTAGACATGGGAACCAAACTTGTACCTCGGGAAGAGCAGCAAATGCTCTTAACTCCCTGGCTGATGTGGGAGTGTCATATATCAATCTGTTGATTTCATTGGTTAAGTAATAAAGAAACTGCTTGGCCTCATAGGTTAAAACATAGGTGGGAGGAGTAAACAGAACAGAATGCTGGGAGGAAGAGGAAGTGAGCTCAGAGGTCATGCTCCCTTCTCCCGGGCAGATGTGACGCAGCTCTGACCCAGGATGGACGTAGGCTAGAATCTTCCCGGTAAGCGCACCTTGGGGTGCTACACACATTATTAGAAATGGGCTAGTCCAGGTGCGAGAGTTAGCCGAGAAGAGGCTAGATATAGTGGGCCAAGCAGTGTTTAAAAGAATACAGTTTGTGTGTTGTTATTTCGGGTAAAGCTAGCCGGTGGCGGGAGCTGAGTGGCAGAATGCAACCTGCAGCTCCTACAACACCCGGCTCTCAACAATCAAGATCAATGTCACCTAAGCATCCCCCCAAACTGTGCAGAGGGAAGTGAGAAGAAGGGAAGGGGTACCAGCATTCACGCCGCCAGGGTGCTATTCTGCACGCCATCCATCTTTTTCCTAGTGTCCCTACAGCAACCCTGCACAGTGGACTGGAGACCTCTCATTCTGCAGGTATACTGAAACTCATACAAGGTTACAGAACCGGGTGTGAGGGCCGAAGACCAAGCTCCCTGTACTCCCTTCAGAGCCAGAACCCCCTGCCCACTGAGTCCCCCTGGACAAGAGGCAGGTCCGCCTTCCCTTCTCTGAGCTGATAAACCTGGCTCGATCAGCTACAATCGTCTCTTCTGATACTAGCAGTGTGTCTGGGGAGTCAAATTAGAGGCCACACAAGTCAACCCTTTATGTAAAGCACCAGATAAACTTGAGGCAATCTGATTCCTATCTAAGCGAGGCAAATGTTCTGTGCAAATCAAAATTGCCATAAACAAGGGCTAGGATGCAGCTTAGTGGTTGAGTGCTTGCCTAGTGCCTACGAGCTGCTGGGTTGGGGTTGGGTCCTTAGTATAGCTGCAAATAAATACTAAATAAATTATTTTTAAGATGCCACAATGGCCAGGCGATGGTGGCGCACACCTTTAATCCCAGCACTCAGGAGGCAGAGGCAGGCGGATCTCTGTGAGTTCGAGGCCAGCCTGGTCTACAGAGCTAGTGCCAGGACAGGCTCCAAAGCCACAGAGAAACCCTGTCTCGAAAAACAAAAAAAAAAAACAAAAACAAAAACAAAAAAAAAAGGATGCCACAATGATAAAACACACCTTGATTTCTCTTCAAAGTTGGGAGGTAAATTAAGAGCTGCCTTATCTACTAAGCCAGGTCTACTTGGAAAGTTCTATTGCAGTCAGATTCAGGGGACAATCTGGGTGCAACATGCCTTAGCAGGGCCTCTGGTGCTCCGAGAGCGTGTTCAGGCCTTCGGTGCTCTGAGAGCGTGCTCTCTGAGGTTCCCGTGGGCCTCTGGTGACCAAGAACTGACAGAAGCAACTCTCGGGTCTCCGCTGCCGAGCATCCAAGCTTCAGTCCCAGCAGCTGCTGCTGGAGGCCAATGGCTCTCTGGGTACTGAGGACACTGATACTGTGGAGGCTCAGCAGGCAGAAAGAGGCCTGAGCTCACGCTGGGCGCGAGGCATCAGGAGACCCACACGGGGGTGACAGGGTGTTAATGATCAGACCCAAAGGCTCAGCAGAGGAGAGGGAGCAAGGGCCAGCGAGCAGGACCCCAGCACAGCATCCTGACAAAGCTGCAGCTTGTGCCTTTTCATCAGACATGGTCCACTGTGACGGCTGAAGAGGACACTCAGTCCTCAGTCTCATCAACCGCTTTCTCTTTTCTTTTTTATAATTAGGCAATTATAAATTAATTTTTAAAAATATTTACTCTTTACTACTTACATATAATTTTATTTCAACAAATGAAAAAGTAAACAATCATTTATTTATTTTCTCTTAATTTCCTTGCTGTTCTTTCTTCCCTTGCTAGCCAGCCCAATATTTTAATGATTCAGGCACCATTGTCTGGCCAGCTGGCTCTTTGCAGATGTTTCCTTTCTTAATTTAAGCAACATCCATCCCGTTCATATAACATTCCTGGCACACGGAACATCGTGCTGGGCAACAGGACTGGGGATGCCCCAGGCATCAGCTCAGTTCTTACGCCTGTTCTCTTCCGAGCTTTGTAGTGAGTTGGTTTGGTCATAAATAATTTAGAAGGGACACGTTTAACCCAGATCACCACACATGAGTTCAATCCCTTGGGCTGCTGTATCAACTTTCCACTCAAGCAGAGCGACCTCATAGCCTAGTTCCGCACCCTCAGAAAAGCCTTCTGAGTTTGCCCAGGCAAACGGCATGTGGGCACCCACAGATGGGGAGGCCAGTTTCATTGGTGGCCCCTTATGCTGGCAGCTGGCATTGGAGCTGCTCTCCTGACCTCTGCCTGGACTCCACTGAGGAGAAGAGTCTCCCCACACAGTCTCTGTACCTCCTCATGCTGGTCCTTCGCTTATCTTCCAGCCTCACAAGGAAGGTAGCGAAAGGAAACTGGAGCCGAAGCCCGTGCAGACAGTTCAGAAGCTGGTGAGGTCCTGGCTCTGCCTTCCAGACCTGGGTTCAAGTCCCAGGTTGACCTTATTCTCCCCGTGTGATGGCTGGCAGATGACATCATATCTCTGAGGTACAGGCCCCCTCTTATTCAGTGGGGCCATAAAGGCCCATCAGGTTGCCGAGAGTGGAACTTGCTCCGTGTTCAACCTGTGCCAACTCGAATCACTGCCGCTTACTTCAGTATGGGACCTGCTAGAGACACGGTCACTTGCTCACTGGAAGGTGGCAGGGCAAACCTGAAGACAGACAGTGGGTCTGGTGCTGATGGGGGAGGTCAGAACAGGTGTTAGGAAGGACAGTGGCTGGCAGGAGGTGAACAAGAGGTCCAGATGGTCCTAGCACGCACACAACACGCACGCGCACCCGTGGCCGCGCAGTCACGCGGTGCCCACACTCAGCCCTCCATACCTACACGCTGCGCGTCCCTCCTGACGGCCTCCTTGTCGTGCCAGTCCTTCAGCTTTTGCTCATCTCCCAAGAAAAGCGTCTTTTTGGGTCGACTGGGTAAGTCCTTTGAAAAAGAAAAAGAAGAAACCATGAAAAGGAAGAAACGGGGAATATCGGCAGTGGCAAAGGTCCAGGGGCTAAGGGAGCACCTACCACCCGTCCGGCCCTCACAGCATCTTTCTGAGTGCCTGCCATGTGCCGGCTAGGGGCGCAGAAGCGCAGTGCCACCCCACAGGAAACGCGCCACCCAGGAAAGGAAGGAGACTTGGAAAGAAACAGCCATGGGAGAAAGTGCCAAGGGTGTTGCTGCCCAGCAAAAAGGATACGTGAGGCAGACATGGCCGTCAGGAGCAAGCTGTTTTGCACGCGGAAGAAAATGAGGCCGGGTGCCACTGGTGGTACACTTCCATAGTCCTAGCACCTGGGAGGTAGAGGCAGGAAAACCCCCCGAGTCCTAGGCTAGCTTGGCATATACTGTGAGATACTGTCACCCAACAAAACAAAACACGTAGAGGCTAAGGGATGTAGTCAGTGGTGGAGAGCCTGCTTAGCATTCAGGAAGCCCTTAGTTCAGTCCTCGGTACTCGAAGGAAACAAATACACGAGCTTAGATTTAGTAACGGATTTAGTTTTTAAAGATGTATTTAATTTTTAATTATGTATCTGTGTGGCTGCCTGTGTGTGGATATGTCTACGGGAGGCCAGAAGAGGGCATCAGGGCCTCTGGAGCTGGAGCTACCAACAGTTGTGAGCCTCTAGACACAGGTGTTAGGAACTGAATGTAGGTCCTCTGCAAGACCGGTGAACACTCTTAACTGCTAGACCATCTCTCCAGACCCAATACATGCATATTATCTAAAATATTAGCATTCCAACATGTAATCAATGTAAAATGTAATTATTTTACATTTTTTTCCCAACACAGGATTTCCCTGTGTAGCCTTGGCTGTCCTGTCTTACTCTATAGACCAGGCTGCTCTCTGGAACTCACAGAGATCCACTGGCCTCTGTCTCCTGAGTGTTGGGATTAAAGGCACTGGTGGTATTTTGCTCTTTTTTTTGGATTAAGTCTTTAAATTCTTGGGTTCACATCAACTCAAACCCCTTCCCAGTGCTCTAGAACTGCAGGGGGCTGGCTAATGGCTATACCCAGGACAGAGCCTCAGAAGTGAGTGTTAGGCTGGGTGGTGGTGGCACACACCTTTAATCCCAGCGCTCGGGAGGCAGAGGCAGGCGGATTCCTGTGAGTTCCAGATCAGCCTGGCCTACAGAGTGAGTTCCAGGACAGCCCCACAGAGAAACCTTGTCTTGAAAAACAAAACCAACAACAGAAAGGAAGTGACGGGATGATGGACTCCTGCTTTTACAAGAGCGCCGGGGACTGGAAATCAGGTTGTCACGCTCACATAGCTAGCGCTTCATCCACCGTGCCATCTCCTAGCTCCAAACACACAACTCTTAAGTGACGCTGATCATGCGATTATGTAAAAGAACACGCCAAGACTTTCAACTCAAGGGTGCTTGGATGTTTCCGTCACACTGCACATCCAGAGGTGTGTTTCTAAAAGTTGAGATCTTTTTCTTTCTTTTTTTCTGGTTTGCAATCATCTTCTGATAACCCCCCCCCCCACACACACACACACAAACACCCCGGGCTTCCATAATGTCCCCTCGCCACAGGAGATGAGGACAAAGGGAAGGAGCACAGTGAGTATGTAGGCCAGCTGGAGAGGCTGGCACAGTGTCTAGAAATCCCTTTACACAGCAAACTGCAAACGCATGTGGGCGTGCCTGGAGCGACCGTGTCTGGAACCCATGTGCCCTTAGTCAACATTCCAAAGGAATCGATCACGGTCCCAACTGCCACTCACTCGCTCATCCAAATGGAATTTTAATCTTTGTTTAATCACCATTTAGTGTGTCTGGCACCCTTTGAAGAGAGAACAGAGAAACAAAGCCAACAGCATTCTGCCGCAGAAGAGAGATTGGTCAAAGCACACAGTCCAATCCCAAGACTGCAGAATTGCCAGCGCCTGCCAGCGAAGGCCTGGCCCAGCTGACTAGGGTCCTCAAGACCACAGGAGGGTCGTGGGGTTCATCCATGTTTCAGGATGCATTAGGGGAGACTTTACTGCAGATGCTGGGGTGATTCTCTAGACTCCCAACCCTTCAGATTTTGCTTTAGGAGCATACACACTCTTTGATGTCAAACATTAAGTTTAATAGATTCTAATAGCTCTTGTGGTAGTTTGAATGTAAATTGGTCCCCATAAGCTCACAGGGAGTGGTACTATTAGGAGGTGTGGCTTTGTTGGAGGAAGTGTGTCACTGGGGAGGTGGGCTTTGAGGTCTCATGTATGCTCAAGCCGTGCCTAGTATCTCTGATCACTTCCTATTGCCTGTTGGTCAAAATGTAGGATTCTCAGCTCTTTCTTGAGCGTCCTGTCTGCCTGCACGCTACCATGTCGCACAATGATGATAATGGATTAAACCTTTGAAAACGTAAGCCACCCTTTATAAGAGTTACTGGTCATGCCGTCTTTTCACAGCAATAGAAACCTTAACTAAGACAGCCCTCGTATGTGCATGCATGACACACAGACATAGACACACACAGATGCACACACGCACACACACATACAGTATTCCCTTCAAGGTCAGAGTGGACCAGATAGAACTTTTATTTAGCCAAATTCACAGAGTTGCTTTATACCGGGTGTGGAGTCTGAATGAGAATGGCCCCCATTGGCTCATATGTCTGAATGCACAGTCCCCATTTCGTGGAACTCTCTGGGAGGTATGACCTTCTTGGAATAGGTGTAGCCTTGTGGGAAGAGATGTCTCACTGGGGTGGGCTTTGAGGTTTCAAAACCCCACATCAAACTCAGTGTCTCTGCCTGCAGACCAGGATGTAAAGCTTCCAGGAGGTGTTCTAGCGCCATGTTGGTCTGCTTCCCACATGGTGATCATGGACTAACCCTCTGAGACTATTAGCAAGCTTTCTTTTTTAGAAGAGTTGCTGTGGTCATGGTGTCTCTTCACAGCAATAGAAGACCCAGGAGACACACCTCTGGGGGTGTCTGAGAGGCACTGACAGAGAGGTTTACCTGAGGAAGGAAAGTACACCCTGAGTGTGGATAGCACCATCCCCATGGTTTAGGGTCCCCAACTGGATAAAGGGACAATGAACGCGCATCCACATCCATCTCTCTCTCTCTGCTTCCTGACTGTGGCCCCAGTGCTCTCACACTCACTCGGCTCCTGCTGCTGTGCCATCCCAGACATGATGGACCACAACCTCCCTTAAACCATTAATGAATACAAATCCTCCCTGGGGGCTGGGGAGATGATTCAATGGTTGAGAGCACTAGCTGCCCTTTCAAAGGACCTGGTTTTTATTGCCACAGGAACGAGACATGTACGTCATACACTGCCTACATGCAAACGCCCCCACACACCAAAAAACAAAACAGCATCTTCCTTCCGTAAGTTGCTTCTGATGATGTATGTTGTCATAGCAATGAAAAAGTATTTATACATATAGCTAAATAAGACAGTTCACAGGCTCAACAAAACATGATGATATAAGAAATAACACACACAACTGTAAGTGTATTGCCTTAAAGGGCACAGATAAAATTTATAGATATTTAGAAGAGTCAAAATTAACACCCCCTTCCCCCAGACGACTGGGTAAGGATTCCTACAGAAGAGACAGACAGAGAGAGAGAGAGAGTGTGTGTGTGTGCAAAGATAGGAAGGGATCTGCCTGAGAGCAGTGCAGGTGGAATCCAACCGGAGGGAATGCATGAACCAAGAAACGGAGGCTTGAAGGTGACAGACAGATTTACTTAAGGGCGAAAGTCCAATCTGGCAGGGATAAATAAGGTTCAAAAGGCAGACATGAGCCACACAGTAGGAGGAAGTCTGGACCAGTGCTTGGCAGGTGGGAACGACAGACGACCGTCTCTGAGCAAGGAGTGAGTCTGAGCAGAGTGAAGGAATAAAGCTCTGAAGCCCACACACTTTGATCCGTTTCCTCCTCCTCTTCCTCCTATGAGAGACACGGGCATGGAGATGGCTTTGTTCTCAGCTTGGGGAAATGTTTCCTTTTCCAAACTGAGGACCGCTCTCATTCTCCCAAGTAAGAATCAAGTGAGTTTGACTACCCCAGACTCCATCTGACTTGCTGTTTGGAGAAAATGTGTTTGTTTTGTTTTTTATTTTAACTAGAACCAAATGGTGCAAGAATATAAATGAATCTCAGCAGCACCATCCGCCAGAGATTCTCAGAATCTAGTACCAAGTGGGAGCTGAGAGGCCATTTCCTGGATACCTTTAGCATCCCGCTGGTCCAGGAAGAAAGCCTCATGCAAGCTGCCCTGGCATTCCAGAGTATCCTCGGGGCTCCACACCTCATGTTCCTCTGAGCACCCATCTGATGATGTGCCTGTCTCCCCAAACTGGGAGCTCCCAAAAAGCAGGTCTAATTCTCACTGATGAAGGAATGGGAAGATATGCCTTTGTTTTATTTTTTTCTGGATGGAGGGAAGGTCACGTAGGGATTAGACGTTCCTAACATAGTCACAAGGATTTAATGCCATACAGGGCTCTGAGGATTAACTTTATCCTCTGATTAAATGGTTTCAGGTCAGTTTAATGGGCTGCACAACTCTAAAGGAAGAGGGTTCACCTCAGCCTAAGGTGATTTCTAAAAGATGCCACAGGCTTTGAACTCTCACACCCGCCTCCTTCATTGCTAGTCAGCTTCCCGTCTGTATCTTACCCCTTGAGGCTGGTGGCAGAGGGTCTGTCTGTCTTTCCTCTGGGGTTGCTTTCATTTTCATGTAGAAGTACCAGATATTTTAGCTCTTGCATGCATACACACACACACACATGCACACACATACACATACCTTTCCATGCCTTTCTACAAGAGAAAAACTCCTATCTTGCTTGATTCATTCAAGTCTAGTCTTGACTAGATTTTTGTTATTGCTGTTTGGTTGGTTGTTTTTGTTCGTAGTTGTTGTTGTCTCCTCCCTACAATGTAGTGCTGACCTG